CCACCACCCACCCCCGGAAAAAGACAAGCTCCATGTTCTACCTAATGGACAGACCTGAACGGTCAAGCTGACCTTGGTCCTGCTCGGTTTCTTACTGATGCTCCCTCAGGGGAGATGCTCCGAGCACTGGGGATTAACGGGGTGCTGCGGCCGAGCTTGTCTTGCCCGCAGTTCGGCCGCTTCCAGGGCAGGATGCCCGGGTGTCTGGATTGTTACAACCTGGGTCCCTAAGCGGACATGTCAGGACACAGGCTCAGGCTCCGTTCAGCACAAGCTCCTGCTGTCTCTCCCCGAGACGGGAACGGAGGGCGAGATGAGTACAAGCCCCCTCGAGACGGGCAGATGACAGGCAACCCGGCCCCTCCCCACATTTAAGTGACCTTGCGATCTCGAGACGACCCCCGTCTTCCTTCTTCAGCAGTAGCAGCCCGCAGGGGGCCGGCACGCACCTCCCAGGCAGGACCCGTCCCTGCGTGGGGCGCGCCCATCACTCACGTTTCGCTACCGACAGGTGGTGAGCCGCCTGTCCGATCGATCACTGTGACCACACACACTCGCGCGCACCCTCCCTCCCTCTTCGGAACCCAGCCCACCTTCCGCCCATGCAATTCTCAACAGCGTGCTACAAACACTGTCTCCCAGACCCACAAAAGACTGGATGCGGGAGGCATCTCTGGGGAGACTCAGGTGGACCTCTGGCCCTGGCCTTGCCCCGCTCGCTAGGGGCACAGACGTGCTGCGTGTATGTGTCCGGCCCGGTGGTGCTGCTGAAATCCACCAGTGTGCTCTCAGTGCAGGTTCACCCTCGCAGAGGTGGTGGTCCCTTCTCCCATCTGGAGTCCCGGCCTTTCCAAGGACTGTACTTCAGACCACCAGCGGGGCGAGAAAGCTCATCTTTCTGGATCGGATCAGGATCCCTCGCTGGGCTGCTTCCTTCAAAACGAGGCCGCCATCTCTAAAAACCCTGCCGTGAGCTCGGCACCTGTACCAGCAGCCCCTAGAGCAGTGGGGCCAGAGCCACGTCACGCCCCAGTGCACAGTAGCTCCCGTGAGCAGTCAGTCCACGCTCCAGCCGAGAGGAATGAGCACCCTCGCTCAGGTCCCCTGAGTGAGCGTGTGCCGGAAGCGGGTGATGGGAACTGGAACAGCCCCTCCAGGCTGCACAGAGCACCTCCACCATGAGCCTGCCGGCTGCGGGTCACCCCCGGTCTCCCAGCTCCTGCTCTGTCTGTTACCTTGGAGCATCGCTGACTGGCCCCGTGCGTGACGTGTCTCCCAGGCGAGGGTACATGGGAAAGGACAAGACAGGACACCGACAGGAGATTGGCCTCGGCTACAGGAAGCTGAGCCACCCCTGCACCTGAGACTTTAATTTTGCGTAATGCAGGGTCCGAGTAAGGGCCTGGCCCCCAGAAAACGCCTGCGTGTATGGGTTTGCCC